TCATATAAATATTCATGTATATTAGAGTAAAGCCTGATGACGATCTAATCGAAAACAATATTGTTCGCTTATATGTGTTGTTCTAATTTTCACAATGGGAAGCAAATATTTACAAACTGTTCAGATCGATCGATCGATCGATAGATAGATGGATAGGCAGACAAACACACATACACATACACACACACGCATGCATCTATAGGATGGTGAATGTGTACATTTCATTAACTAGTACAGATTGTAATGAAAAAATTTACTCCTGCTACTTAATTTGAACTGATCCATTTAAATTAATGAAAAACGTTTAATGATGAAGCATAAGTGAATTTTTAAATTGAATGATTTTTATTTTATTTTATTTATTTCTAAAATGAGAATAAATCTCATTTTGATGTATGTACACACACATATATATATAGATAGATAGATAGATTTGCATATGAAAATAATTAAATCAGTCAATCAATCAATCAATCAGTAAATAGAACAGAAGAGAAGAGAATAGAGCGACTGTACATAAAACAGTTAATTTTCTAAGCATAAAAGAAATTGGGAACGGGGTAAACGAAATGATGATTGTTGAGTAGAGGAATAAAATAAACTGAGTTCATGTTAGTATGTTTGGGCATAAAATCAACCTGTGAAATGAAATAACAGATTGTAAAAATATAATTAGACGAAACAATGAAAAGTACGTGCCTATAAAAGAATGTGCATGTGTTAGTGTGTGTGTAAATGTGTTTTGTCATACAATTCCCTGATAGATTTACTATTTTCTACTTACTTACTTACTTACTTACTTATGCACTTATTTATGCACTTACTTACTTACTTACTTGTGCACTTACTTACTTACTTACTTACTTACTTACTTACTTACTTACTTACTTACTTACTTACTTACTTACTTACTTACTTATGCACTTATGCACTTATTTATTCACTTACTTACTTACTTACTTACTTACTTACTTACTTACTTACTTACTTACTTACTTACTTACTTACTTATTTACTTACTTACTTACTTACTTACTTACTTACTTACTTACTTATGCACTTATGCACTTATTTATGCACTTACTTACTTACTTACTTACTTACTTACTTACTTACTTACTTACTTACTTACTTACTTATTTACTTACTTACTTTCTTACTTACTTACTTACTTACTTACTTACTTACTTACTTATTTACTCACTTACTTATTTACTTACTTACTTACTTACTTACTTACTTATGCACTTACTCACTCACTTAATTACTCACTTACTTACTTACTTACTTACTTATTTACTTACTTACTTACTTACTTACTTACTTACTTACTTACTTACTTACTTGCTAACTTACTTACTTACTTATGTCTGTTATCCGTAATGGAGTATAGACAGTTGACCAACATTTTCTAACCTACCTAGTTTAAGTTTATTCTTTTCATATCTGCGTCCAATTCTCAGTTTAATGTAGGTTTTGGTCTTCTCCTTTTCTTTCAGCTTAGGAAATTTCAATTGAAGGCTTGTCTTGTGATACAATTGAGTGATTTCCGCCATGTGTGTTTTGTCCACTTCCAGTGATTTAGAAGATGTCAAAACCTTTACATAAAAACACACTGATAGATAAGTTGAATCTGATTCAGATATGAAGACGTCGATTGGCAAAGCAGGAGCAACATTTCTGAAATTGAAGAACATATAGAACTCAAAGCAGCTATCAACAAACACTAAAGTCACAATTTTCAATGGAAATACAAGACAGTTCTACGGCATGAGGCGGAAACATGGGGAATTACGTAAGGCATCATCCACAACATACAGATATTTATGAACAGTTATCTGAGCTACAGTAGTGGCATCAGTCAAAAATTGTGGAAATCATCAGGTTGCGTCATGAGACAAGCTCTAAATTCTGAATGTCACTGATTTCTCACAATGCGGGTATTGTTTACGAAACTGTGAATTTCCACAACTTTGACCAAGTTGATGAGTATGGAGGATGCTCTTGGAGGAATTTTGAAATAGGAATACTAAACCAATGATGCACATCAAGTCCACAATCTTGATAGAACAAATAGTGCATGAATCAAGATACTGTTCTGAGCATTAGACAAGTTTCTCAAAGAATCAGGAAATAGCCCTGTAAGAACACCGATTGCTTCGGTTTAGGATCTCAGGACAATATTACAACTCATACACACACAAATTTAATAATTTTCGGGATGTATAAATCTTTAGGTGACACTGTGTACGCTAACGTGTATACATTTAAATATCTACACTAAAATTTATGACACTATGCTACTTTCAACCAATTCACTTCGAAAAATGAAGAATGTGTTTTACATCATACAGTTCGATTGTACTTTTAACTTATTCAACATTGAAAATTCGAACTATTTACAAATCAAAGAAAATCTAGTTTCAATTGAATTATTCGACAACATTGAACATACAATTAGATTAGGTTTGTGGAAGTTAAGTATGCATTTTATTCAGTAATATATAATATATATATATTATTTTCACTGATCAATCGGTGCGCATGCACGACTCCTCAGAGTGCGGATTGAACCTTCAATTTGATGTGCGAACGCCTATTCCTCGAACATTCTTTTCTAAGAATACCTGATCTCTTATTGACAACGAGTATCTTGTCCATGATTCATGTAAAGAAGAATATGTATCAATTTGCAATCTTTTAGAAAAATGTTCAGTATTAGACTACACTGCCTCACCACTATCAACCTGTAATTCAATAGATCATACGGCAGTCACTCATGGTAGACACTAGTGATTGTTGAATGAAACGGTTTCTTTTTCATGGAAAAATAAGTTTTTAATTTTATTTATTAAAAAGAACAAAAATTCAAAAGACTAAAACGAATTAAACAAATGAACATTGAAAATAATTAAAGAATGTTTATCAATAAAAGAGACGTTTTAACCATTTTAAAAAAAATGATATTAGTTTTTAAAGACGAACTGTGGTTTTTTGAGAAATTTTCCGTAAAATTATTAAACTTTATTTCAGATTAACAAAAAATAAACTGATAGAAAACAGTATAAATCAATAAAATCTTAATTCGTTCTAATGCTCAACAGTATTGAACTCGTTACACAAACACTAAATTGTATATAAGTGTACATCAGTAAAATTGATTTTTGAATATAAATCCTCAAATAACCATTTGGTTATTTGACAGCAACAACCAATCACAAACAATCCATTGATCAGTCATATTGGATTGGCTTCCTTTTTTGTTCCAGTCGCCATGTAAATAGTCGTCAGTGATCTTGTCACAGTATTTTGTGGACGAGTACTTATTCTATGAGTGGTTAGTCGTTATTCTCAAAGTCAACCGAGGATGTTGTTGTGAACCAGGATTTAATCGTTTATAATACTTGTGGGAATATCAAAACGGATAACAGGATATCAAAAATGTGTAAGTACAGATCTTAGACCGGACATCACAATGAAAAAAACACTTATGTAAACTTTCGTTATGTTTGGTATTAATCACCTGAATGTTTTAAAAAATATCAGTGTGTGCACTTCTGATGAGTCGCAACTTTTTAAGAAACAATGATCCTGTGCTTGCTGTTTCCTAATGGTGTTCTAACACTGATCGATCGATCGTTTCAATGAAACTCAACAATCTCCACAATCCATTAGTGAAAATGTAAATTTAGTTAAATTTCTTTCCGACTGATTTAAATCACAGATGACTGACTATCTGCCTTCATCAAATGCATGTCATCACTGATAGAATCTCAGAAGAGAAATTGGGGGGAGCATTCTTATTACTGCCCCATATTGTGACGGCAAAAAGTGAGATTTTCTCAACTTTGAATACTTTCCAATGATAATTATAGTAATAATAACAATGCACGCATTATCTTCTCTCTGCTTCAAATGTATTTTTCTTTGAGTTACGTAATTAAGGCTTATTCATCCAGTCGTTTGCTCATAGATTATAAATGTTTACAATTTATGTGAAACAACCTTCTTTGATGATGACGATTTGTGTTTTTGTCTGCAAACTTGTGAAATCATTCAATCAACGTATCTGCTCAACTCTTCACATCCTAACCCATAATTGAAAAGTTGGAATCAATGGATGGCCGTTTTGTCCTCGTGTTGGACATTTCAGCAGTGCGCATCCACGATCTCCTCATGCGGGCATTAAAAACAAGACCGCTGGTGTCGCGTGGGAACGCCTAAACGCCGAACCGCTCAAGTGTCATTCACTTGTAGCAATATCATAATTTGATCAGTCCACAGTTTTGCGCAACCTCATTCATTGTTTCTAACAGTGTTCAACTTGTCTTATATCCGATTGGATAAAATTTTTATTGTCACAGCTTTGCGTTAGAACTCCATCAAATAGTAGTTTTAGATGTTTGCGGCTGATCTAATCAACATCAGTTCGTGATTTAATAAAGGGTGAAAATTCTGCTTTCATAACTCAATCACCTTAACTCTACAAGGTTATCAATTATTTGTTTTAATTAATATTGATTTACACCAGACTATCAATTCATTTCTATCAATCTAAATAACCGGTAAATAGTCGACACGTGACCAACATAGAAACAACAATCCACAGTCTCATTTGAAATCATCAATAGAGGAGAGAAGGTGTGAAACAAAAGGATTCATGAATAGAACTCTTAAGAAGAAATTCGAATATCTGCACTCTCTCCCCACTCTGTCTGTCCCCCTCTCGCTCTCCTTAAGAAGAGTATGATGTGTGATTTTCGATAAAGAACTAGTGCAAACGATCACAAAACACCTTTTGATTTGTAGCAATAAATAAACTGATTATAAATACAGACGAAATTATTCATACAAATTAGAAGTCAACGTTTTATGTAACCCAATCATTTTCAATTAATAGAATTATGTTATTCAAGTGGCATTTGATTTTGGCCTATTGTTATTCCTACTAGTTAATAACCACTGGAAATGAGAAAAATGATTCTGTGTCTAGTTGTTGACTATTTCTTCGAAGGAGGCAGCATAGACGCACCTGCATTATGATTAGGATTATTCCATGTGGATAACGTCGAATGAGGTGGAGGTACAGACGACAGTAATAATGATTCATATCGCGATTGATAACTGTGATAACCGGAATCATTCGAAACATCACACGATAATAAGAATACTGATGATGATGATGATGATGATGATGGCGAATTTGAATTGGGACAGAATTTCTTCTCAACTCGTCTGTTCTGTGGAGTTGAATGCATGAATGATGCCGATGTGCCGTCCTTCCTGTCATGATCATCATTTTTCTGCTCGTTATTACTTAAAGTATTGATATTGGGATCCCAATAGGTAGGAAATATCGGTGCCGAGTAGAACTGATTTACTGATCCTCTTTCGAGCATAGATATGTTCCCGTGTGGTGACATAACTTGCTCGAAAGATGACCAGGAGGTCCCTGATCTTGCTTCATTCTGATTGTTTTCAAATAATTCAGCTGATTTGGTTATGTGATTGCGTTGTCTTCGCTTATGTCCGGTACATGTTTTCATTTCACTCACGTGACTGATTGATGGATTCCTTGAACAGGATGATGATGACGAGGTTGATGATTGGTGAATGAAATTTGAACATGAATTCTCTTGTCCATGTAATACTTTATCTAAACTTTCAATATACCAGATCGCGTTTTTCAAAGTTGAAATTTTACTCAATTGTTCACCTGAACGACATTGGACCACAGCTCGTAGACGATCAAATCTCATGTTTAATAATTTCACACGATTTCTTTCTCGTTCATTACGTCGTGTTATATTCACTGTATCCGTAATTCCACATGATGATGGTGAGGGTGAGTGTGAAGTTGATGAGGTGCATGGTTTTAATATTTTGGTTAGAGGTTTATCAAATTTATTGATGAAACTTTGTGTTCTCACTCGTTGTATGTGGTATTCGATAAATCGATGAGCGGTTTACGACATGTTTGACTATTCCATTGATAATAAGTAGTTTCTGCTCTTCTGATTATTCAGAACAAAATATTACATGGACAAATTTTCACCTGATTATCAGCTGTAAATTATTTGAAATACGATCACTCCAAAAGCAAGTTGAGGAACCCAGTTACTGTTGACAAACCGTCCTCTTATATACTGTTCCACGATCGATCCCTCTCCACCCACCCAAACATACAAACCGTCACATTTTCCTCAGAGTAGTTTAGAGATTCATACGCAAATAGAGGGTCACATAAAGAGACATGAGTCAATGCTTTCACAGACAAAATGTCACAATTTCATTGGCTACTGAAAGTGATATACATAACACGTGACAGATCACACGTGAGATTATGTCAACCAATCAGTGGACTGTAAACCATTACCAATTAGAACGCAGAACAGAGAATGAGTTTTCAAAATAAATTTTATGTATAATGGAGAAGCTTGTAACAGATATTGATTTAAATAATAACTGAAAATGAATAGTTTGGTTTGCCAGAGGCCTAATGCAATCAAACTGACAAACTGAAAATACACCTTGATAATAAGGACTAGACTTGAATTTCTATGTCCGTTATTTGATTCAATAAATATAACAGTAATAATAATAATAATAGTAATAATAATAATCATTCTGTCCTATACTGTACTATAAAAACGTTATTAAAGAGGATTCACATTTCGTAACTTGCTTAATGAGCTGATTTCACACTTGCTCAATATTGAGAAGTACAGCAACAAATGATTTATTCATTTTTGAGAGTTTTAAGAAGTATTTAGAACCAACGCTGAGTAATCGAACTAAAGTCTTTCAAGTCACTGTGAAGTATTCTATACTAGAACGAAATTACTCTGTGACTGCTGTCTGGATTTAAACTAGTGTCTATCTACAGTAGTTCTATGATCTAAACTACCAAAGCATTCAAAGAAATCGTTCACTTATGAATTTCTCACTATTGCATTGTGTAAGAATGGTAATTGAATCTAGTTGATTTGATGAGTATATTTCTGTTGTTGAAGATGAAATGGGCAGTTTGATTAATTTTAATTCAATTCATATTACTACATTCAATATTCTATGTTTGATTATGATTCAAACAAATCATATTCATGTACTGGACGTTTTTGTTTGAATTACTAAAAAACACATTGAACAAAATTTATGAAGTCGAAATGATTTGAAATGTAACTGTTTGATATCTAAACTACTAGAATTCATATTATTATAAGTAGTATTTGTATTATTGTTGTAACGAGTTAGCCATTGTTACACTGTTTGTTTTTGACATGAATACATAGTTAGTGAATACAGACACAGTCAAAATACACTTGATCTATTCATGAGACAGAATGAATGTGTGCGGGTGAGTGTGTTTGTGTGCGCATTCGAAGGTCAGAGATCACCAGTGAACAAAAGCGAGAAAGGCAGATAGAAAGAACACACAACTCGATCATCTTCTATTCAATAACACCATGTGAGCATGACATATCATCCGTGATTCGCCTCTCTTCACACTAACATTTTCATTCAATATTCAATATCCATGATTTCAGTCGGAGTTTCAGAAAAACACAAATTCATAAACCAAAATATTCTCTCTCTCTTTGCAAGTAGAAATCAAACAATTTCATTGACTCGGTTTGTGTTTTTACGTGACCACAGCTGATCTACTGGTTGACTGAATGTTCAACGGATAGTAGACGTTTGAATTGAAGACAATGGAATTTTTCGGATAATGATCAAAGTAGGAATATTGATGAGGTGGAGGAGAGAGAAACACTGTCAACACTGATATTCATAAATAACAGTCATAATCATAGTCATAATCAAAATAACAAGAAAAACTCAACACTCACAACACAACAACCACCATCAAACATGAATGCGTGAATAAAGAATAAGAGAAACAGAAAAGTGTTCGATAATCGAATGATCTTCCATCTGTTACACAATTTCTCGATTCATTATTCACATACAGATTGTTTGAATTTGATTGATTTCGCCTTCAGGGGGTTTCAAATCCATTGATAGTGTAATTAAAACAAGCAAATAGACTATGGTCGATCATTGTATGAATTGGAGATCACCATTTCATTGATATTTGTACACATGTGTTTGTGTGTGTGAGAGTGAGTGTGAGTGAGAGTAGAAGAGGAGTAGTGAGTGTATTTGTTTGTATTCAGTGCTTCACATGTAAGTGTGATCACGCGAACTGTGATGTAGTGTACTGAATGTATGGGGTACAGAAAACAATCAGAATGACTGTTCCCTCTGTATGTGAGGTTGAGCAATTTCTCTTATTCATCATAAGACACACACTCATACACATTTAATTAGTTTCCGATTACTCTACAACTACGCCTGTACACCTCCCTCACTCAGACTTGATTCCACTCTACTCTGTATCCACCATGAATTATACTTTATGGATTGGTGTATTCGACTCAAATAAGTAATATCCATTAAAGATGAACAATATTATCGAGAAAAATATGTTGACAGATGTGTGGTGTAAATGACAATTTTATTTACTGAATTCAATCTATATTTCAATATATCAGTTAAATGAAGTGTCACAGTAGATAATGGAATTCAGTTGAAATCGGATAGGAAAGAATGGATGCAGAGAACAGTGAGATATCGATAGATTGTGATCTGTCTTCATGCAAAAGCTGATTGTTTTAGTAAACAAAATGCAGTTAGTCAGTGAATATGACCACGTACAATTGTACAGACACATAATACACATATGTGTGTATCTACAGACGGACATTCACAGTCACGTGGTTATATCATCCTCTCGAGTTTGGTTTTGTAAAGTAAATAAAGAACTTGACGTTTGGTACATTGTGGTAGCACAGAAATGCTGTAAAGTCTAAAAAGGATCCAATCGTATTTAAGTCAAAAATGTGTTTGTGTGTAATTTAGATGATGTAACGTGTATAACCCGCGCGCTCTCTCTTTCTCTCACACACTTTTCATACAACAACTGTCAATCAAATGTGCACATATTTTGAATAAAAAATGGAATTGCCATTTTGAATTTCACATTTCACATTAACTTTAATTGACAGTAATAATAATAATAATAATAATAATAATAATAATAATAGAAATTATCGAGATAATGATTACCTTTGTCATTTACATCATCTCTCCCACTTCATTGTCACAATCTCGTCATGTACACGTAATCGTATTGATTGATGTTACAAAATGTAAACGCAACTGTTTCTCTCTCTCTCTCTTCCAATGCAAAACGATGCAGTTCAATGAGGAGTAGTGTATCAGTGAATGGGGATCATGTCGACTATTGTTTATCATTGTCGATATGATTATTCCCTCATGATTAGTGATAATCCATAGTTATTGTTGGTTGTGTGATCATTTACATGAAACACGACGTTACATCTAATAAACTGAATCAGTCAAATGAATATTGGCAACTATCAATTGTATGACGTCATTGATAAACTGGTTCTCTTGTATTGTGGATCAATCAGTTAGTGTGTTGACCTGTTTCACTGACCGACTTATTTGTGGTCACAAGCCTAGTAACTGATAACTTCAACTACTATAATGCTTGGATTGATTGGGATCGAGAGTTGTGTAGTGAGTAGTTGGTTGGTGGGTGGATGTGTATGAGTGTGGGTACAGGGATGGTGGAGTTGAATTAGCATAATTTTCTATTATGTATACATGTATACTTGATCAGCTTAAGAATTGATCGGATGAGGTAGGTGGGTGGTGTGTGGAGTGATACAGTGAGAGAGTTGAGGGAGAGAGAGTGGAATACATTCTGACCTCTGACTTGTTTGTATTGTATGTACAAACAACAACAATGAATTTTAATTTTCATTTAATTGTCTCACCTCTCTCCACTTATCTCGTTTGATGGCAATGAAAATGTGGGTGCAGCTGAGCATGTGTTGTGTTGATGAGCCGGAAATTATTGAAGGATACAAGATTTAGTATTTGAAATGGTCATTTGTACAGATCATTTATTGGTCATAACAGACAGCAGAATTTGCATTTCTTTTTCAATGGCACAAACTGTTGTTATCCATACAATCACGGAAGTCAAATTTCGTTGAAACAAACTACCGCATGTATCAAGAATTGATCGGGACAGAATGTGACTATTTGATATCATGAGTTGTATGACACTGTAGTCAAAAGAACTTTATCGAGAGTTGATCTTGTTTGTAATTGACAACAGAATATTCCCTCCTCTAATCATGATCAACAAATCTGTTGAGAATTGTTTCTGATATGTATATTCCTCATGCATACTTAGGAACTCACGTACGTCTGTTACCCTTCGAAGAGCGTTGGACGCCGAGCAGTATTTTCCAATTTACTCTGTCCTTCTTTGCTTAGTGTGTTTGTTCATGAACAAACTTGTATGACGACGTATGTGTGTGTGTGATTGATATTCAGTGTGATTTCACATATTCAACATTCTCTTCAATGTGTTTTGTTGAATTGCACAAGTTTTCATGATCCGATAAAAATTCAGTTAAATGTTGACTGTGAACAAGGATGATCACTGAACAATCAGAAGAATCATGACGAATAACAATGAGGAGAGACTTCATACACGTAAATTGTGTGTGTGTGTGCATGTATATGCATGTGCAATCACACAGGCACACAATTGTTGTGTAACAATAGAAAAAGTTGTTGTTAATTGGTTGTTAGTTGGTTATTGATCAATGAGTGAAATTGGAAACCGCCACTTGACATAGGATTGTAAAGAGGAGAC